TAAACAATTGTGAATGAGAAACGTTCTCTCACACGCTCTCAAAACATAATTATAATCACATAGTTATAATCGCGTTATAAGATCATCGTTATGCTGAGTACAATGTAAATTTTATTTAACTGATACAATTTTAATACTTTGACTACGAATAACTTTTGACGATAATGAAGTCCTTAATTTTGGACAACAGTCTAACGATGACAGCATTCACTTATTGTTTTACAACGTATCAATTTGACTCCGATAATTTTATTGTTACACTGAAGAGAATCTAATCTTATGGTCGAAACGTCTGTAATTGGTGATCGGCATATATATTATTTTACACGCGTTATTATTATTACACACGTACAACTGTGTCGGATCTCATTGACCTTATACTCCTTTATTGATCCAAATTAAATCCATTTTCGTCTGCATTATATATACTTTCTAGTTCAAAAAGACTTATATAGAAGAGATTACGGTAAGATAAGATTTTACGGTAGCTATGAATTTCTGACATGCAGTTTGTAATTGCTTTTTATCCGTTATTACAGAACAACTTACAAATTTTGTTATTTTTCTTAACATAATTCCATGTTCTCTTTAAAAATTTAACATCCATGTTTTAAATGCACCAGTTTTAAATGAAGGAAAATCGATTTGTGTTCGACTTCTAGGGCCAATCATCGTAAATCCATGTCATGAATAATTCTTTTTTTGTCATTAGCTTCTTTAAAATTTTGTAAAACATTCGGAAATATATATATGTATAATATCTTTTCTCTATGGGTACTTTTTTGTAGGTAATATTCCCATCAATATAGTTGCCGCAAAGACTTCATCTTTTTTAAAATTATGTTTTACCAATGAAAAGGAATACCGCCCCTTTTTTGCAGTTTTCCAAAATTCAATAGCTCTTCTTTTATAATCATCAGTAACAATTTTTCGTTCTTCTGAAATACAACTCTTCTGCTTACCCTAAATTATTTTGGCGGAGTATCTTTAGGATTCAATGGGCTTCTTGTTCGGATAATCTCTGCTTCCGAATTTGACGTCTTCTCTCGGCAGAGGCTCCCTTACGGCACTGGCAGCGAGATCTCTCGCTCGTATTATGACAGAAAGTGGTCATCTTTTATAGTAATTGCTTGTAAAAAATTCAGCGATAGGATGACAAGTTCATAAACAGAATAAGTTCATTAATTCGGAAAATTCAAAATGGTATCACCTGCGTGCTATCCCTCCTCTGAGTGACCTCGCGCCTCTGATTTTCTATCTTCTTCCTTGCCGTCAGTTGAGATAAGACGATGCGATCTTATTTCAACAAATCATCAAAACCGCCGATTATCCTAAATAAACTCGCAAACAATAATAATATTTCGCGAAATGTAACAATAAAAGCCGCTCGAAAATTGTGATAAGCGCTGACATGCCTGCCCTCCCTCTGCGTCGGGAAAACATAGGACAATGCCACGCTATTTCGATCGTCGGATGACCCTTGTAACGGACGGTGAAAAACGTCACGTCACAAAGTACAAAAAGTTTCATTAAAATCAAAATTTGACACTTCGCGAGGTTCTCTTGTCAGACCATTATTTACAGAGTTATTAATGATTAAAGTTGATTAATCTCCTCCTCTCACACTTATTATGTATTCTCCAGATTGAAATTTTATTTTAATTTTTCATATTATTTAATAAATCAATGAATAGGTAGATAAATGAATAAACAAATAAATCAAAAATAAATATTACAAGGAATTAGAAAGGAGGATGTTAAAGAGACCGATTTTTGCCCATTAAAGGTGCAAGTAAAAGGAATAGTGTTTTTTTAAATAGATTTTGACTTCCTGAATACGATAATATTAATAAAAAGTTGGGGCCTAATAGGGGGTAATATTAATAAAAGGTCAAGCCTATAGCGGTCGAAGCTAGATCTTTCAATACCTAAATAACTGTAGGCTTGAATATTGTTAGTATTTAATTTATGGTCTTAGTAAAATCATTTATTATTTGTTAATATAAAAAATACATAAAATTTCAATCGAGAGACTGCATAGTAAGCGCGAGGAGTGGCATATTACGCTCCTGCGTACTCCGGCTGCGCGCTATCTGATTGATCAACTTTAATCGTTAATAACGTAGTAAATAATGGTCTAAGCCAAAAGTGGGAAAGAAATTTCTAGTTCAAAATTTCATTCTTTTTCACTCCCAGAAATATTAATCAAGAGTTATAGAACACTGTATACTGGGTGTTTCAGACCACCCTCACAAGTTATAAGGGAAAGTTATTTTTTAAAATGTTTTAGAGAGAGACAAAGTTGTTGGGGATCAAGTAATGCATTACATGAGCGTATGCGATTGACTTTAGGTGACGTCGTGAAGATTGATTTGAATTTTTTAAATAGGAACCCATATCTGTTATTGCATATTCTTGTAGCTGGCGTCAAAACGTTTTGAAACACTGATTATATAATCCTTTTTAAGGTCGGAAATTTTAATCGAACACCCCGAAGAGATGTAAATCCGATCGTGCGACCTCCACGCGGTACATCTTGAATAATCTTAACGCCGGCAGTACTAAAATTTTGAAGTCTCATAACTCAGGAAGGTCTCAACTAAAAAGATAGACACTTTGTAAAATATTTCGAAAAACGCCTTGAGGTGAATTACAAGAATATGCAATAAAAGATATAGGTTCCTATTTAAAAAAATTCAACCTTGACATGACTTTTATGACGCCACCCAAGTCAATTGTATACGTCCTTGTAATATATTTTACCTGATCTCCAATAACTTCATCTAAAATATTTTTCAAAATAACTACTTTCCTCATTTTAAATGGAATATACGGATGATCTGAAACATCCAATATGTACACACACATACGTGTTTATATTATATATTATATTATAGAGTTCCATGATCTACAAAACTGTATATACAATTGCTTGGTATGAATTACCAGTTTTATTCAAAACAGAGATATGTTTGCTTATGTTGCGTAGTCAAAAACCGAGTAAAATAACCGCAGGAAAATTTTACGTAATGCATCTGGAGAATTTTAATGCAGTAAGAAATTATCACTTCTTGTATCACAAAATGTATAAAAAAATATGGGATTTTTGTAATATACATATTATAAAAAATATTTTAATTCTAATATTTTTTAGGTGTTGAGCACGGCTGCCTCATACTTCATGTTGCTCCGAAGTTTTGGCTCGGATGAAACTACTGTTAAATTATAATTGAATAAAATCGTAATGTCTAATTAAGAAATATAATACTGAAAATAATAAAAAATACAACACTTCAAAATTGTGTGTAAAAGTTCCGACAATAGCATGATTCATACATTACTGTCTATTAATATCCATATATGCGGGATCTTATCCTACACGTAACCTTATTTCGACAATATTTGTTACAAATATCCACCCCAACCAAAATACATTTGACATAAATTATCTGTATTTGTCGCTTCCAAAATTAAATGATTAGTTTGTCCTTCAACACTAAGATGTAACGCGATATTTTCTGCCTTTCTTCCAGGATATCGTATCAAGCCTTTCAATCGTTGCTCAATATTTTTTATATGTTCTACGGCCTAAAAAAAAAATAAGTGGATTATTCTTGCATAATTTATAAAAGAATGTATTTGCGTTATACTTTTTCATTTGTTTTTTCAGCTGCATCACCAGGCTGATTCTTAGTCCAAGTGACGAGTGGATCATAGACGAAAGGTGTGAGTACGCTCAACAATGTACTCGATTCTTGCCGAAGTACTCGCATAGTAATTTGGGAGGCGCGTCTAAATGGTCCTTCAATTTTTAAAGGACCCATAGCGTCCACCATATTATGTGTCAAGCGAAATGGTACTCGTTCAGGCCAATCAAAAAATTCACCCTAAGAATTATATATAGGTACATATATATTAATTAGAATATAAGTAATTTATAATTTTAAGTTAAAAAAGAAATTTGTTTTCCGAATTTTTAATATTTAATTTCTAAGTGCAAGATTTACCCTGTTAAACAAACAGTTGAAATCAACATGTACGCAATCTCCACATTTAGAATCGAATAATATATTTTCTCCATGACGATCACCAAGTCCAAGTATGTATCCCACCATGGACATGACAGCAGTTGTCCTAATATACGCCGTGCGAGCTTCATACCTTTTTCAAAAGTTAGATAATTGATATCTATACATATACAAAATTATAAAAAATATATGTAAGATGTATTTTATTAGTATATACCATCCATATGAATCAGGAAACGTAATGCGAAACCAATCCCCGAATATTGGAGGATGTCGTGGTAATAACTTTTCTAGAAACATTTTTCTCTTCTTTTCTAATGGATCTCTTAATGCTGATGAAAAGATTTAGAAATGAGATAAAATAATTTGTTTACATGTTTGAACGTTCTTCACAATCATATTATAGCTTACCACATAACATCGTTTTAAGTTCCTTATTTGTAGGTGCAATGCCTCTTTCTCTATAGAGATTCATGATAGTAGGTCGAAGACCAACCAGATTTGGTACCCATTCTATTAAACCGCATTCCTCGTTCAAAGGCACCACGCTCTGCAAATCAAGGATAGTTAACAATTTATTGAAATCAAATCTAAACAAAATGTATCACTAGCAAGTCTTACATATGTGCGTATATAAAGCCTCCTTTGTCGTGATTCTGGATCATTTTGAAGATACTTATTCACAATATCATTAAATTCCATCAGTCTGAAGTCTCTACGTAAATCATCTTTCGGTTTACACATAAAAAGATATTCTTTACCATCTGATCCTCTCAGTGCAATTCGACGGGGACGTTGAAGTGAAGGCATTATTACCACACTTTCTTCTATTTTTGTTATATGTACCCACCTCCTATATTGCAAGCATAATAACAAAATATATCGCACTGTTACAAGAAAAAAGAATATTGTTTAAATAACAAATCAAATATGTACAATAAGAATGGATTGTGATTTTCAACTGAAGCGTTCTTGGATGGAAGATGTAGTTGTCTGAATTTCGTTGTTGGCATCATGATTAAGCTGAAATCTTTACTTGAAAGTAACTTTGGCAAATTTTTTGACAAATGAGTCACAGTAGTATTTAATATTCCCTGTACAAAATCAGAAGAATTTTATTATTTATCATATATACATATAAACGTATACCTCATTTTTCAATTTTTGACACATCACATATATTTTTACACTATAATTGATTTTGCTGATATTACAATTGAATAACTTACTTCTGGTATAGCTTTATTGGATAATTCGATCAGTCTTTCCCAAAGTCTGTGGAAATCTCTAATAAGCTTAGCCATATTTGACGTTTTCAACTGCGCATGATTTAATATTTCTTGACATCGTTTTTGTCGAGTTGGGTATGAAGACTGCAAAATAAACAAAGCATTCTTTAGATTTTGTTAATCATATAAAAATAGTGTATTCATATTAATTAATAACATATACATTAAAAACTGATGCCATCATCCATAAGCAATGTTGCGGATATGCCGAAATTAATTTTACTAAAATCGCACAAAGAGTATTTTGTACTAGCAGAGATGGATGACAAATCCTTGATACAAGTTGGCTGAATGCTGTTAGCCACATGAACGTCGGTAATCTATGATGGTAGACTTCTGAAATGTAAAAATCAATTCATATTCTTTATTTAATGATATAAATAAACTATTTAGTTATAAATCTTTTATTTAATTCAAATAGGTACCCATGATTTGAGTCATCTTTAACAGACGATCTTGACGAAGTTTAATAATATCTGACGGATCAGAAATAACCGTAGCACGAGAAGCGTTATCTAACCAAATGGTCAACATCTTAGGCATTGAATGATGAATATACTTGCAGCCATATTGAAGTGATTTGCCATAAAAGTTCATCATATGTATTTGCAGATCTCTAAAATATTAATGATAAATATTATTATAATTGCAATCATATCATAATAAAATTAAATTGCATAAAGCGCGAACTTACCGTTTATTTTTATCTTTGTCGTTTTCAGACATTCTTTCAACAATAGTATCATAATACTGAGCACATGATACCCAACTTTTTTCCCAGCATCTCCATACTTCGATTGCTTCTTTATAATTAAGGATACAACCATCTGTATCGACATTAAGAGTTTCATCGTTGTATTTGGCAAAAAGAAGCTTTGCCTAAAAGAAGATATGAAATTACTTTTTGATAATCAATAAGTTTAGTATCATTAGATACATACCTTTGCACAGTATCTTCTTTCTTCGTTACAGTTTTCTGAAGGTAATTGTTTGTAATATTGTGCTGGTTGAAAACAATTTGAGAAACAGCGATTTAAAGTAGTAAAAGCATCTTCTTGACAACCCTTTTGCCAATATAATTGAGCTTGTTCTATATACAACGGCTGTGGTGGACACCAATCATTGGCTGATAAAATATGCATATACGCTTGTTGGTGCAAACCAGTCCTGAATGAAACAATTCGTTTAATACAGAAATTATTAAATATGAAAAGTAATACGTCATACGTACTTTCTAGCAATTTTGGCACTTTTTAACCAGATTTTACCAATTTCTTGCTTAAGTATTAAATTTTCTGTGTTTTGAGTCTTTCGTTGTAGCTGTACAGCCAAATCTAAAGTAGCTCTGCGCATACTCAGAACAAATTCTACACCGCGAGATGCTTTCAACAATTGTCCACGTTTCTCCCATTCTTCTAATATTGATGGGAGACCTTCTACGTTGTTCAACATCATTGAAGTTGCTTTATCAAATTCATTTAATATATGTAATCTGAAAATGAGAGATATTATAATAAATATATTTTAATAATTTAGAAAGAGTATAAATTATTAATACTTACTTCATAATGTACGAGTAACTCTGTTGATAAGCTCCCGGTCGAGAAGCATCTTCTAATAATGATACTAAATTTTTCTTCAATGAGAGCAAATCAGGTTTTGTTCGCTTTATGAGATCATCTAATAGTACGTGCTTTATATTTTTTTGTGAGGACTCATCAAATCGGGAGAAATGAGCAAGTTTCCAAAAAAGCTCACGTTCGGTTATGAGAGGCTCTAATTCTGGTCTACCATATGAAAAAAATGTTTCAGGTTATAAACAGTTTAACTATTTACATTTATTTGTACTGCAATAAGTATTACCTATTAATTAATAGACCTTCGGTAATGTGTTTGGCAGTAAATGGTTGGTCTAGACCAAGGTAACATTGAATAATACCTTGTAAGTACATGTGCTTTGAGTCTCTTGTTTGCATGAGTCTCTCGTAACACGTAGCTGCATCCTAATACAATTTATGAGTATTCGAAGAGTAATTTAGTAAAGTAAAATTATAGTTTCAAAGTAGAATTATTTAATTTATTTAATAATACCTGAAGCTGTCCATTGACTTCGTGAGCTAAAACCAATTGTTGCAATGTAGGAGACTGATTTTGGGTCGCCAGAATACCAGAAACTCCATCAGGTTCATCGAGTTGCGCATAAATTTTCTGCAATATATAATTCTACATTGTGGAACAAAGAAATGTGTCATGTATATGACTTAAAATATACCATGTATTACATACGGCGAGTAAACCACCTTCTGTTAATTCAGATAAACCTTTATTACTAGATGCCATGTGTTGTTCTAGATACATTAGTGCACGATGATATTCCCGTGATTGGTAACATCCCTCTGCCACTACCAAACTATCCAAGCTAGCGCAGAATTCTAGAGAAATATCAATAAAAACATCAATCATGTTACATCTGATCTATAAAAATCATATAAATTAACGCAATATATGACAGAATACATTTTTTATTACAACCTTTTATAGCTTCATATCTATTATCTTGAAATAATCTTCGTTCTCTGAGCCATCTTTGCAAATGATCCAATATATGAAAGATTATCTGTATCAATCATACGAAAACGTTTAACAATATCAAGACTTAATAATAAATAAAATTATTAAAAAATTTATGCTAACTTGCGAGCAGCGTGTACGTCTAGTTTCTTCCGAAATTCTCTTGTCATCGGCCTCTACACTCTGTCCATATCGAAGTGGTCGATGACGCAGAAGTTCAGGATCTAATACAGACTTCTGTCTAACATTGATGACAGCTAACATCTCTTCTCTAATCTTAACATGCTCTTCTTTTCCATTATTTGCGAT